ATCACATCTGGACGAGCCTCCTTCACTTGCTCACGAGTCCAAATGCCCCTCTTGCCCAACTCCATGAAGCGTCCATTTGGTCCGAGCAGTTTGAGAGACTCTGGGATATAGTCGTCCACGAGCGTGTTCAGCACTACGTCGACGTGCCCATCTGGCCCTAGGAACTCACGCATATCCTTCGCAAAAGTCGACGCATCGCGGCTTGTCGTGATATACTGAATTCCAGCGGACCGCAGGTATTCTTCCTTGGCTCCGCCGCTGCAGGTTGCATAGACTGTCGCCCCCACCCTTTGGCAGTACTGGATAGCAATCAGTCCTACGCCTCCTGTTGCCGTGTGTACGAGTACTTTGTCACCAGCCTTCACATGCGCCAAATCTCCAAAGGCGTACTCCACTGTGGCGGCAATAACCGGCAGTGCAGCAGACTCTTCAAATCCAAGGGAAGATGGAGCCCGGCGAACGAGATTTGCATCGGTTGTTGCATAGGTCCGAAGTGCTCCTGGAGCGATACCATAGACACGGTCTCCCACACGTACGTGTTCCACTTCGTCCCCTACGGCAACAACTGTACCAGCGAAGTCGGCACCTGGGGGTCCAGGGTCTCCTGGGTATAGGTCCATGACATTAAGAACGTCGCGGAAGTTAAGACCAACTGCCCGAACGCGAACTTCAACTTGATTGTGTTCGGGTGGGACCCTGGCTGCAAAAGCTTGTGGCCGTACTACTAAATTCGAGATGGCACCTCTTTCGGGCATGTACAGCTCCAGAGCACCTCGTACCGCTAGATCACTCTTTTCGATTCTTGCGGCATAGAGAGTGTTGCCCCGTAGCATGAGCTCATTTTCATCAGAGGTCGCCATACTCGAACGCAAGAAAGTGACAACAGCCTTCGCCATGTCATCATCTTTCTCAAAGTGCGCGATATCAAGGCAACCAATCTGCGTCGTGCTGCCAATCGAAACTTCTATTTCTAATCGTGCGGCCTTTACAAGCCCCCAAAGTCCACCGTGAGCTGGAAGGTCGGGCTGCGGTGGGGTTTGTTCTTCCTTTACTGGTGACTCCATGATGTCGCTGGTGAAGAACCACATGGGGGGCATTGTTGCTCCATTGTTAAGCAGAGCAGCGTATGCTTGGAGGAGGCGAATCGCTGCATGGGGAACATCTAGCGCTGCGTACTCATCAGCTGTCAAAGCTTCTACAAAGGCGATAGCTCTCCACCTGCCACTTGTGAGAAGCTCCTGAACTTTGCTCCTTGTCGAAGGAATATCTTCAACACTAAGCACCCTGCCGTAGTCATCCCCCCCAAGTGCATTCGACAGCGCCTCCATGAGCTGCAAGCTGCCTCCAAGAACCAGCACTGGCCCTTTGCCAACTGCGTGGTCCTGTGGCTGGGTAGTCAATTCCGCTCTTTTGTCCCACCTGACCTTCCAAATAAGGTCACGTGGGATGCTGGCACCTACGCTACCCCCAATGTCAATGTTTCTAAGGGCAACCTTTTCAAGTGCCGCTACTGTCTGCCAGCTATCGTCAAAAATCCTAACATTTACCACTGCTGAGCGCGACCGGCACTCTACCAACTCTACATGCGCCCAGCAGCCTGCCTTACCCTCCAGTTTTCGCAGCCATATACGGCCAGCACCAACTGGAACCATCGACACGTGAGCGCGAGAAGCATGCCGTCCAATGAGGGCGGCAGCAACCTGCGAAGAAGCACAAAACCCAAAACTGAATGCAAAACCGGACCAAAGGAGCTAAAATAGGGCACGTGGCGTGAGATATTATCAGATTCGCATGTCAAACGCCTAGCAATATCGGCCTTCATACACTCTTCCTTACATGAAGCGCCCCATCAAGAAGAGCAGGGTGCACTAAGAAGCCGCTCTCAAATGAGTCCTGTTTGCAGCCTTCCGGCAACATCAAACGAGCTAATGCCTCGGACTCCGAACGAGAAATGCTGTGGACGGACCGGAACCGCGGCCCGTATTGAAGTCCCAAGTCAAATAAAGACTCGTACAATTGGCCAATCGAGACGGGCTGATTGCATCGCGCTTGAAGCTCCTTTAATGATGGGGTTGCGTCCTCCTTGTTCTGTTCCCCCAGAACAATGCGTGCGCTGCAGTGAACATTCGTTTCGTCGTCCCAAACACTACTCAACTCAACGTTCAAGTTTTTCATGATGTGGCAACGAATCGTCATCTCAACATCTTGAGGAACGACCTGGTCATCAGGTAGTGCCCCTCGACTCGATAAAAGAGATTGAGTAACCTCCTCCAACTCCACTTTGAGCTTCATATCCTTTGAACGCGGATCTGACGATGCTAGCTTGGGGGTACTCTCTTTGCTGCTGACTGGTGAAACAAGCCAAGTACTTGGAGCCAGAGAAGGGCTGGCTAGTGCCGGAGTTGAGAAGCCGCGCGAGTCACTGTCTGCCCGTGGTCTACGGACATAGGCATCATTTACTCTCCTTGGAGTCCGAACTGTGCGAGGGCTAAGCCTGCCGCAGTTGCGACTTCTTGCTCGGGTATTGAATTCGTAGGTGACGCGCTGCGAACCGATCATCATTGGCCTCTCAAAAAATGCATTCTCTAGTGCGACTGCCCCTGAAGGTGTTTTGAGGTCCAGCGCGAAGGCGGCACTAGCAACGATTTCTGCCATACCCATGCCAGGCATCATTGCCTTCCCGTTTACCATGTGGTCAGCAAACAGTGGCACTGCTCGACGAGGGAAAGAAGTCTCGAATAAGAATTCTCCATCCCCCAGTTTGCGATGTTTCCCCACAAGCGGGTGAGGAATTTGCACCCAAGGGATCGGCTTCCTGTGATAAATCAGTTCATCCTGCCCATGGAGGCCATGTTCCATTTCAAGCTGCTCTCCTACTCTGTCCATGACTGCTAAACAGTTTTGAACAATAGAAGCCTGCCGTTCGCTTGTCTCCTCTTCAGCCGCTGGGAATGCAAACACCCATTCGACATCTTTCGCCATTTCGTCGACGCTCTGCTGGCCCATTTTGATCAGGGCTGCCCGGCCATTAATTTCCACGAGCAGCTTGCATCCGGCAGATACAAGATTACTGATGCACTGGTCAAGCCGCACTGTCCGTATCAGATGGCGGGTCCAGTAGTGGGCGCTGAGGACTTGTTCGTCGCAGAATTCACCAGTTGTTGCGCAGATCATTTTGATGGTGGGACGAGAAAGTTTAACGTTTCCAATTATCCGGGCAAGGGGAGTGACTACGTCTGATAGCAGTGGCGATGAAAAGCTCAAACGGTCGGGCAGGTACTTAAACCGGCCGGCTATGTCTAGCTTCATCAAAACCGACTCCAGCTCCGACTGGACTCCACTCAAGACCAGTTGCTTCTGGCCATAGACAACAGAAATTGCAACGGATGAAGTAGACCCCGCTGCTCCCCCAGCATCGGAAATTGCCATCTCCACGTCTTTCTCCCCCACCCTACAGGCTGCGGCCACGGCATCAGCTGGAAGGAAAGTATCAACAAGCTTGGCTCGTTGACATGCAACTCGGAGACCGTCTTCAAGACTCATCACTCCCGCTATTGCAGCGGCAACGAATTCACCAACACCGATTCCCATTACTGCATCAGGCTTGACGCCCTGAGATATCAGACTTCTTCCAATAGCATACTCAAAAGAAAAGAGTGCGGGATCCGCGAACCGCGTTTGCCGAAGCCACTGCTGGCTCTGTTTGCCATGTGCCCTCTCTGCGGACCTGGGCAAGTCCTGCTCGGAGAAAAGGATGGACAGCAGTGGAACGCTGACCAAACGCTTAAGTATGTCCCCACACTCGTTGAGGGCTTTTGCAAATGCTGGATCGCTGTCATAGAGCACGCGACATTTTTGCAGGCTTTCTACTCCTTGACTACCGAACATGAAGCACACCAATGTGGGCTTTTGAGCCTTATATGGCCTCCTTCCGACGCAAGGATGGGGTGCTTCCTGTAACAACACGTGAGCATTGGCCCCTCCAAATCCGAACGAACTGACGCCACCAATCCTGGGTTTCCCTGTTGCCGGTGTTATCGGGAGCGCAACCACAGGGCATACGAACTTCGCGCCCTTGAGGTCAATGTGCGGATTCCACGTTTTAAAGTGGAGATTAGGGGGCATTTGCTCATAGCGAAGAGCAAGGGCGGCCTTTAGAAACCCTGCAATACCTGCAGCGCCCTCAAGATGTCCAATGTTGGTCTTAACTGCACCCAAGAGAAGAGGGGAGTCCCTGCTAGACCTGAACACGGATTTGAGGGCTCCGATCTCTATCGGGTCCCCCAGAGGCGTTCCAGTTCCATGTGTCTCGACAAACAGCACCTCCTCCGGAGCGACGGAAGCATTACGCAGCGCCATTCGAATAATTCGTTCTTGGGATGGGCCGCTAGGGGCTGTCAGGCTGGCCGCCCGCCCTCCGTGGTTGACGGCTGTCCCTCGAACGATACAGAGGATGCGACTGCTGTCTTTCATTGCTTCCGCATGAGGCTTGATTACAATGGCACCAAGTCCTTCTCCGCGAACATAGCCATTCGCACTGGCATCAAATGTTTTGCAGCGTGCATCAGGGGCCATCATGCGAGCCTTGCAGAACGCCACGGTGACATTTGGAGAGAGCATGAGGTTCACGCCAGCGACTAAGGCGCAGGAGCAGCTTCCTGCCTTAAGCTCCTGGATGGCTATATGCAGCGCTACGAGAGAAGACGAGCAAGCGGTATCCACAGTTAACGATGGGCCCAGCATCCCAAGAGTGTACGATATTCGATTGGATAGAATGGACGGTGCGTGGCTCGTCGCCGTAAAGCTACTGATTCCAAGACCCATTTGAGCGCATGTTTGCTGCCATTCATTGCAGCAGCATCCCACAAATGTCCCAATATTTGCCCTCAACAAGGTCTCCTTGTCGAAACCACTGTCATGCAGGGCCTCATAGCCGACCTCTAAGAGAAGTCGTTGTTGGGGATCCATACTTGATGCCTGCAAAAGCGCAGCGCATTGCCAAATGAAGCAAATGCTTTTGCTACATCCATCGGGCCGGCACAGTAGTAAACCCGGGAACGCTGAAATGCTGTTCAGGGTAGAATGCGGCCGGCAGCGAGCCGCCTACCTCAGCCAATGAAATCCTGAAGAAAGACGCGTCAAAAAACTCGGCGTTCTCAATAAAACCGCCTTCTCGAATGTACATCTTGCCTTCTGCATCTGGGTCTGGATCGAAATAGTCCTCCACATCCCATCTGCATCGCAACAAGGCCCAATGTGCAAATTCTCGAATTACCGTGCGCATACGGTGGAACCGGTTTGCAAGCTGGTACAGGGACAACCAAATAGACACAGAACTGACCTGGACCGCGGCACCTCTACCATTGCGTCGACACCGCACATAAGAGCGTCCCAGAATGAACTGAGAGTTGTGCTGCCTCCTGGCAAGTTGCACGCTGCGCCTACGACGGCCATTGTCGTGTCCGTGGTGTTCGTGTTGATAGTGAGTGCCTCTTCGGCCCCTTTACCCTCGATTTCACGCACTAGGAACTCCATAATGTCCTCCATCGTCGGGTAATTAAACATCAGCGTCGGCTCAATGTCGATATTTAACCTTTCAGAAACAAGCTCCGCTAGCTCTACAGCAGCAATTGAATCAACTCCTAATTCATGCAGTGGGGCCTGCATATCCGGCAGCTCGCCGTCGTCCCCCAATACATTCTTCGCTGCATCAATCACCGCTTCCCTCACTGCCTTGACAACGGCCTCGTGTGTCGGTCCAGATTCATCGTGGCCTTTGTGTGCCGCTTCACAAGGCTGCTGAGTAGGAGATTTGAGGGGAGCTTGGGTTCCTGCCCTCGCGGCGTTTGAGACTGCTTCAGTTTGGTGAGCATGATGTGTATACGTATGAATAACGCCATCCAACTTGCCTTCAAGTAATTTTTCTCGGGCAAGAGATCTCCTGAGTTTCCCACTGCTTGTTTTTGGTAGGCTTCGCGGTCTCAGGAGCCAAACTCTGTGCACACTGAGGCCGGTGCTGGTAGCAACCGTTCGACAGATGTTCTTAACTATTTGGTCATAGCTGGACCTATCAAAGAGCTGCCGGCGGACCCGGGCCCAGACACCCTTTAAACCGTCTTCTACACGGAGCTCTGCAGCAATGCCTAGCACTTCATTTGAGTCCGCCTCGATCGCAAATGCAGCTACGCAGCCTGGACGAATTTGAGGCACTTCTAAAATTGCCTCTTCAATGTCTGACGGGTAATAATTTCGGCCTCGAATGATAATAATATCTTTGAATCGGCCGGTTACATACAGCTCCCCATTATACATAAATCCACAATCTCCAGTGCGGAGCCCACTAGCCGGAGTGCTGTTTCCTTTCGCATCTTTCACAGATACATGGAACGTCTGGCTTGTCTGTTCCGGCTTGTTGAAGTATCCCAGAGCCACAGATTCACTAAATGCAATAATTTCCCCGACGTGCCCATCCGGTAGTTCTTGATCGGTTTCCGGGTCAACAATTTTTACTGCGGACACTCACGAAAAGCAAACGCGCATTCTTTTAGGTTTCGTTGCTCTCATGCTTGTTTTGTGGTAAAGTAAGTGAAAATAAGGCTCACCAGTGACACCTTTAAATGGAAAGCCACAGCTGACAACGTCCTGTACGTCTCCCGCTGGCTTAGAAGCAGCTTCCTCAGGGGTGAAGATCCTGACAATACGTTCAGCTCGTAACTTCAGTGCGTCAACGTAAAGGATAGTCGCACTGGTTTGCCAGTCCCCTCTTCCAGTAACAATAAGCGTGTGCTCAGCAAGACCGTACGCTGGAGCAACAGTACACGGCTTGATGCCTTTAGGGCCAAATTTCTGGGAACGCACGTAAAGCCACCAGGAAGGGTTTGATGTTACTTACGCAGCGGCATATCCTGTTAATAAGTCACTCGCGCCTCAACTGTAATTTTTCCTCTCACCTCAACAAATTGTTCCACTGTCTGCCTCCGGACAGGCTCCGCTCCAGATAGTATTCCCGTCACATGGGAAAGATCTAGCTGATTATACACGTTGTCAGGCATTTTCCGTGTCACTAGCCCAAAGGCGAAGTTAGGAGCAGCACTGCACACGCATTCGTATTGGCTTAAGGCTTTGAGCCAAACCCAGGGCCGTCGAATGAAATCGATTGGAGACATTTGGTAAAGAGCGGCTCCACAGAACAGTGGGCAGCAGACAAAGCCGATGAGCCTGAAAGAACCAAGAGCACACATTGACGTTCACACGCTAAGTCTAGGGGAACAAAAGTATGGGCAGTTTCCAGAGTCCTGCACGTCCCGTTTGATAATGTTGCTGATGCGCTGGAAATCGCAGAACCTGCTTTTCTTACCCCATGTCATGGTAGACTGGCAGCCAAGAAAACGCTCGGACTCTGTGACCTTTACGCGCCACTGATACTTCATGGCGTCTTTTCCAGAACTCATCCAGCTCAAAAAAGTCATAATCATGGGTCGAAAATTGTTCGCTGGGGTCTTTAGTTTCCAAGTGCGTCGGAAACTCGAAGGAATGCCAGCACAGGTGCATGTTATGCAACAAAGAGGCATGCGTCACCATGACTCCTTTTGGTTCCGAAGTACTTCCAGATGTGAACTGCGCAAATGGGGAGCAGAACTCGCGAATTTAATTGAGTCGGTGGATCTCGCATGCGCTAAATTGTCAGTGTGATGCAACAAAACTGCGCGCTACTGGTTGAGACAGCCAACATTTCATGCACAGAAACTGCTTCGCCACAAGCCTACCTGCAGAAACGCAATGGAATGGGGATCCAGAGTTGCCGGGGGGCAATTAGCCGCAGTGGCTTTTGTTTTGATAGTATCTGTGCAAATCCACTCAATTTCTTTCCATCGCCTCTCGCGAGATACAACAGACATCGCCGCAGCAACCCGACGGTAAGTTGTTGAAGTGAGGGCTTTTTTAGTTCCAGCACTCGCCCCAATGTCACAAAAACGGGGAATATCCGTCACTCCCTTTGTAGGATCAGGGGGATAGACAGGGACAGCGGCAATGCCAGAAATAATGCAGCTGTAGAATGCGACAATAAAGTCTATCCCCGGTGGATAACACAAGATGACTCTGTCATTCTTCTTAATTCCTATTTCCTCCAGGTAAGCCGCTAGTGTGTATATTTGATCCACTAGTTGCTTGTAAGTTCTTATTTCAGCCACATCTCCTTCTCCATTCAACCAGACAACCGCTTCAGCGTCTGGCGCCTCCCGAACCCACTTGTTGAATGTGGCGGCAAACGGATTACCACCAAGCTTGCTCCACAATGCAGCGATTGGTGGACTCATTGAACGGCGCGATGGACTTGTCGTTTCCGAAGTGTCGGACTGAGTTGCGGTTGACGACTCCGCTAATTTCCGCTTCGTTTCCACCATTTTCGAGCAATTTCACCCCCGCCTTTCACGCCCGACAGGGAAACGGAAGCAACAGTCACTTGTGTGAGGGCCGAAGGGCGACCAACTCAAAATACATGTATCAAAGCTTCGGTCTAAAACACATCACAACTGGCGGTGCTGCTTGGACTTGTGTCGTCGGTCAGTCTGTCAAGTGGAGTGCTCGCAGTGAGTTCCTGGAGCCCGCAAAAGTAATTGAGCTTAGTTCTCGAAGTAAACTCCACAGGATGAACGCCAGCCTACGAAACTTCTTTCGCGCAGTAGTCTTCGTGACAAGCAGTCAACCTCACGTAGCTGTGGACCGTCAGCACAAAGCCTGAAACCAAGGATTGCAGGTGTTTATTTGCCCTTTAACTGTATGTCAGGAGATGTCTATAAAAGCGGCCAGTCGCAAGCCTCCCAAAAGTTCGTTCTTCCGTGATATATGGCTTGGTGGTTCTTGACCCTTCAGTCACGCTGCTCAAGCACAACGCGCTGCAATATTAAGCGAGAAAACCCAGTATGAAGCGGAATGAGGCTTTTGCATTCTGATGATGTGGTTTACCAGCTGTCTAATGAACTGACCCCAGTAGGAGCGACGGCTCTGCACGCCAACAGCGTGCGCACGCTGCTGTCCCACTCGGTTGTTAGTGCTAGACGGACGTCACACAGACGACGCGTAGCCTGAAGCTGCTGCGGACATTTGAAAAAAAGAGTAATCACAAAGCCGAAGCAAGTTCAGGAGTAGCTAACTGAGCGGTGACTACTAGCTGACTGTCACGGCGCCCAGAAACGAACGTCGCTGTTTCGCGGACCAGTTTTCGGCCAGCAGAAGCGCAGCCAGAAGATACCTAGCAGAGAGTAAGGGAAATTGGCCTTTAATAAGAATAAGGCTGACGGTTTTAACGGTAGGGAACGGTGAATTGTTCGGCTTTAGCCCCCAGAAAACCCATAGACAACTGCAGCCCACTATGCGAGCAGGGAGACGACGTGCAGTACGTGAGACAGGTTGGCGTCGGCGGTGTTACCAAACTTGATGCCGCCACACCGCATTTGTCCTCATTTAGCCGGGTTTAACCAAGAAAAATATGCCAAAAGTGCTTAAAGTTTTCCTTTGTAATGCAATTTTCTGCTTTTTAACAAAATAATAACACGCTTTCATGAGAAACGCCCTTCTGCCGACGCGAGCACTGGTCATGCGCGTGCTAGCAATCACATTGGCAAATACACCACTCGTGAAATCATACAAAATGTACTACATTAATACAAAGATAAATAGTGGGGCAACCGTTCTCTGTGTTCCGTTCATGTCTTTGTGGCTGCGGGGCCGCCTTTACCCAATACGCAGTACAAAACTCGGCATTTGGCTTCAAGATGCCGCCGGTAGCAGGGTGGCATGTCAGCTGATTGTCATCAATCAGCAGCGCTTTATATTCCCTCTTTCATTGATTATTCAGGCTAGAAGGCGGCAATATCAAGCTTAGTTTGTACCCACAGGCAAGAAAAGTAATGAACAAGTCTTCACGTCAGTGCAGCAGTGGTATGAAAATTTGCATGTCAGATAAAGTAAAGTTAAACAACCCCCGTTTTCTTGCTCGTTGAGTTCATGCTGAGGGATAGCTACGGACAGCGCGTACAGAAGTGCAAGGAAATGTTTGAAGAAGGTAGCCACTCCGAAGGCTTACATTTGACAGCTGCTAGTTAACTCTAGCCAGATTTGCTGTCGCTGAATGCCTCATATTTCTTTTGACAGTGATACCCATATTATTATCCTCCTATTGTATGCAAGGACGCTGGCCTTTGAACTGTGCTTGTGTCATCTCTGCGCGCTTCGATGGACGCAGGAGGCGGAGTCTAATGAGCAAAGGCTAAAATCGATTGGCTAGTTAGGTCCTGACGAATACCTAGCCCTTCATGCGCCCACGCAAATGCGTACATATGTGCATCTACATATGTGCATCTATGTTTGTATATGAATCTGCAAATGGACGCCCATGCATACATTATTTCATCCATAGTTGTTTGTCTGCATATGAATTGGTTTGTTCCAACGTGTGAACGCGAGGTGGGAAATTCCGATGCAAGTGAATTAGGCTCGGCTGTTCTTGTTTGCGATGGCAATGGGTACCACAACACAGTACCAGATCAGCTCTAATGGAGGGCTCTGCACTATTCCCACTCCTGAAAATAGCTTCAACTACTGTACAGCCCTCAATTCTGCAGCTTATCCGGCGCTGTGGCGAAGTACAATTGGCATCTGCCCATCAGCAGGCTGCCGGGGCAGCTGACTAAACTACCCCAAGCACGTCAAACAATAGTTTATTGCTGTTTCATGCTTCAGCTTATCAGACAAGATAGAGGATACACAGGCGCCAGTGTCACTTCTTCAGCTATTTCCGCTGCACCCCGTCAACAGCCACTCCATGCAGCGTTTCATTTCTTCACTCTTCATAGCGCGTGAGAATATATCAAGAACCCACTTTGGTAAATCTCCAGCTCAAAGGCTGATGATTACTTGCCATTCAGGCAGTCCAAAACACCCTCTTTTCCATGTGGCCAATACCTGGCGTATGCCTTTACTATTATAGTAGTTCATTTCCCCTGAATCCTGTGCATGCAATTGCTGAAGATCCTCTGCTCATTCTACAATGTAAAGCATGTGCGGAGTCGATGCTTTGTGGTACGTACCCGGTCACCGTAGATGAACAGGAAAGCTAATGTTGCCGATTGTTACCGTAATACTATAGGCAGCGACTACTAAAACTATTGTGTAACTATCACCTACACACTTTGCTTACACGCCTTGAGTGATTCCTACACACATATATTTTTGAAGAGCTCACATGCACCCCATTTTACAAAAAGACTGTCCATGCTTGACTCCGCACAGCATGATTTCTGGGTGTGTTCTGAGTCATTAACAGTCGTGCCCAAGGCCTTACTTCGCATCACCGACGCCTGACCCTTGCCTTGCTGTACCTTTCCGGTCCTATGCGTGTGCCACAGAGATGGAAGCGCCAATACTCTGACCTCCTTTTGCCCACACTTCCGGCAAAACGGAAGCCAGAAAGAGAGCAAGGCTGCTGCCCACGCTGATAAGCCTCTAGATGAAGAAGCGTTCAAGTCCGCCAGTGTGAACTGTACCACTTGTTGCATGTATTCTCTGCACGCTCTTGCACAGGCCTTGCAACGGCTCTCGGGGCCACAAATACAAATTATACGATGAGGTTCACAAGGCAATACTATTTCGCCCTGTCAAGCTTAATGTGCAAACAATTACTTTAAATTGTCTGGCTCTTGTTCACAAGCTTTTGGCCCCTGAGGGGAGCCATTAGGCCGCCTCGGAGTAGCAAATTTGTCTCGTCCATCTGAAGAAGAAGCTAATGAAGCAAGTAGGGCAATCATGCAGTACGGGAAACTAGCTGGTCACAAGACGGGGCCTGCAGATTCCCGTTGTGGTGGCTACGCCGCAAGTTTAAGTCTGAGTAATCTCCCACAGCTGCAGCTGCAGCTGCCAGCTGCAACTTATGCTGCGTCTTCGAAAGAAGGGACGCATTGAAGCAAACGGGCACAAAAAGTATATCTTCCCCTCAAAGGTTGTCTCCACATGAGCTAAACTCCGTCCTTAAGGCTCCCCATGTGTCGTTACTGGACGTCAGGCGCTGCAGGTCGCGAACAAATGCCTCAGCAGCCTCAACAGCGGATTCCGACTCCTCGACAAACTTCGAGTGAGTATCTTTCCTGGGCCCCGAAGAGTTCGGGACCTCGGAATCCAGCGCAGCTCCCATGTCCAGCACCGCCGTCGCCAGGCCAGCGCGGCTCAGCCCCTGTCGCAGCACTTCGCGAGGGCTGTAACGAGCAGATGTGGCAGCATGAAGCACGAGCTGCAGCAGTTTAAAGATGAGAACAAGTAAAGCAGAAAAAATGACGGCAGAAAAATATGCGAACAACTAAGGCTGCCTTCCAATGAGCCCTTAGTGCAAGTCGAGCCCTTAGTGCAAGTCGACCCAAAGAAAAGTATATTGAATTGAAACCAAACCGTGCACGAAATGATATTCCTGTACCTTGTGACATGATGGAAGGATTATGGGCAAATAAGAGTTGACACTGTTCGTGACGTGAGCTAGATACGTGGCTAGCTAACAGCTTTGTGCGATCTCCTTTAGGAGGGTTTAACGCTGACTGCCAAATTGCTGACCAGGAGGGTTCTAGCGTGATACTCAAATATTCCAGGTAAAAGCCGCTCTTCTGCGGCGAATGCCTCCCGAGCGGACTGCAGGAGTTTCAGCTGCTGAAGCGGAGAAACAGGAGTTGGATGCAGCAGAACGACCGGAGGTCCCTTGCTGTGTCTAGGAAAATCCATCACAACTGCAGCAAAAATGGAGACACATATGACACTAATGCAATAAATCTGCTGCTGCTGTTGCTTTTGGGTGCAGGTAAGCCCCTGCCTAGTCGCATTCCAACTGCAGCTGCGTGCAGAGCTGGTTATTGCGTACGACGCCAAGTGGCGTCCGCAGAAACTGAGACATTTGGCAAAATTAGGCTCAGAACGCATGGGTGCATCTCACTGCTGCGCAATCGCGTTGCGGCTTCCGCCCGCTGCAGCAGCGGAACCATGCGGCTGACAGATTCGACAGAAAAGACCCAAGCAGAATCATGTGGATCGCTGTTCGCCTGTGTTGATGATGTCGCATTGTCAGTTGCAGCAGCAGCTGCTGGGTACAGTTGTTGCAGCTCTGCTAGCTCTGCGAGCAAGAGCAGCATGAGCCCCGAAGGGAACATTGCGCCTCCACCGCCCTTGTCTTTTCATGTTAAGGCTGAAGGTCGGCACACAATTGAAATACTGCCATCTCTCTTTAAAAACAACCGGAGGAGAGCTTTGTCGTCAGATTTATCTCTGCTGATGTTGAGCGCTGAGGAGCGCTCCACACAGTCAACGGGAAGAGCTGAACAGACACACAGCCGGCGGGAAGCTGTACACAGGGCTTGTTCCCCCTCTTTCGCTTGAATCGGATGCACAGATACTGCATGTACGAGCTCAATCCCTAAATAAAAAGTGAATGCATTGAACGAATTTAGCAGGATGCCTTTTCAGCGTAACCTTTTGTCGGCACAGGCTGCAGCCCCAAGCGGCCATTCTTGCATACAAGCATTGTTACGCTGGCTTATATTCCGACGAAAAATTTCATATTTGTATAACGAATCCATTTCCAGCGAGCCACTATCTAATATTCCAGCTGCCTCTGTGGCTTGCTTCTTCCGTACCTTCTCTCCAGCGATGTCTGTCGCTTTCACCGGGCGCTGCTGCGCTCGTTGTTCCCTTTTTCCTTCTCTACGAACGCTATGGCCTGTTGCTGCTGCTACAAAACAGCAGCAGAGGGGCTTCACTGCGCCAGGTGCCTCTAGGGATGCCTCCGCAACAGTATCGGCCCCATGTGCTGCAGCAGCTGAAGCGTTTCCATTTCTTCGGCAACAGAAGGATGGAGCCACGGCTGCAGTGCCTCCCTCCTTCGGTGCCATGGCAGCATCAATGACAAAGGAGGCAGCGGGGAGAGTGCAGGTGGTGCGGGACATGGACTCATTTGAGGCTGAGGTATACAGACAGCCCCCGGCTCCGCTTGCAATCTTCTTCTCTGCCACTTTCAGCAATCTTAACAAAGGCCTTCTTGAGCAGTTTACTGAAATTGCAAAAGCGAGCAACAATGTCGCGAAGTTCCTCGTCATAGATGTCGATGAAGTGCCCCGGGCGGCGTACCACTGCGGGGTGAGGCTTCTTTGCAACACCAATGTACTTAATTAATAAGTTGCAGCACGCATCTGTAGTTTCCATTGACTTGCGTGCGTCTGCGATTTACGCACTCCCTTTGCGTTTGCATAAGACTGGGTATTTTTTGCACATCGATTTCGGCTCGTGTTTGCATTTCTCATGCGCCTAGCTCCCTCCATTTTACAGGCAGATATGATGAGCTGCTGCCCTCAGTGATTCTAATGGTTGCGTTTCAATATGACTGCTGTGAGAAATATGGTTTGTTCGCCTTGCTGACGTGCGAGGTTCGCTTCCAACCGTTTTAGAAGTTAGCTCGCGTGACCACTTGAGTACTTCGCCGCCAGTTCGTTAAGTATGACTTTGGCCATTGTGGCTACCGATGGAACTGCTGCATTACTTGCGTTTCCACTAGGTTCGATGCTAGGATTACAATGGCTGTTGCTACCACGAATACTGCGAGTACCAGTATTTGCCATGCTCTGTCTCAACTCGATTGCTGTTACTATTTTTGGTCTTCGTTTTTGCACGTGGGGTTGCATACTCAGGTGGAGCACCCCTGCACTTTTGTCGTGCAGTACAACTGCGACGCGTTCCGCAGGCGCATTGCGGATCCGGATGGCACAAAAACGGTAATCCCTAAACCCTAAACCCTGATATCGGGTCTAGTTTAGCCGCCAATAGGCATTAATAGGCATTTCGCCTTCTTCCACAGCAGGTGAATACCCTCATCCCCAGGGCCGCAGACGACTGTAAATATTCTGGTTGAGGGCTTGCGGTTGTTTGTTGTCGCCGCAGCCACAGCAACTCGTGAATGAATTCAAGGCGGCACTGGATGCATGCCTCATTGCAGTGCAGCAGCAGCCGCCGCAGCAGCAGGTGGAGTGGTACACCCACAGCATCCCCGTGGACAACTTGAACGTGTATCGCGTAAACTGGCCAACAGCCTGAACTAAGCAGGAGTTCCGTAACTTCAAGCTTTCAATTGTTTATGAGGCAGTGCAAACGGTGGTGGTGCCTTTGAATCGGTGCTTCCTCTCTGCCCTGGGTTTCCCAACAGCTGTTTGCAGTCGTTTGAATCGTTGTCCATGCTGCATTCTACGGTATATATGTACCCTGTATCAGCGCTAGCAGCAGCAGCAGTAGCAGCAGCAACGGCGAGAACACATATGCACCGCCCGCTGCACTTGAAGCAGCTGTCAGTTGGCTGCTGCTGGGGCCGACTGGCCACGTGCCGGGGAGGAACGAGATATCAATACGTTTTGAAAATTGGTGCTATTATTCGAAAAAGAATTTGCTGTGTACAACGGGTGGATATCAAAGTGACATAAAAACAAAAAAAAAACATTGGCTGGCCATGTGTGGCGCATTCTAGTAAATAATGTAAGAGAGACCAGTCAGCGCCCTCTCCACTGTACACTTCAAGAAAGCCAGAAGCTAAACTGCGGGCCTTCTATGATTCTTTCAAATGGCCTTGAAGACGCCTGCGGAGTCGCAGCCTAGGACTGTTTCCTTGGATTAAGAACGTTTGTGGCTGTTGCTGATGCTCCACTTGGAGTACTGTTACTGCTGTCAGCTGACGCAACTTTCTTGTCTTTTTCTGCCGCATCTCCAGCTGTAATGCAAAGGGGGCCTCCTGCTGCTGCCCCTGCTGTTGCCCCTGCTGCTGCTGTAGTGTACCTGTCGTCTATCTCAGGGAAGAATGGCTCCTGCAGAGCAGCCACTAGTGCGCGCACCTTCTTAGGGCCTATCCCTGGGCATTGCTGCAGCTGGTGCTGATGCGCCATAAATATATTCCGCATGCATCTGAACTCCTTGGCGAGCGACACGAAGTCGGCACGGTTGACAGAGGGTAGCACTCGTAGAACCTCTGCAGCAACGAGCGCAAAGACCGAATGAACTTGAACGCAAATTGTTAATTGAAGTACATCTATATTACCAAATAAATATTCCCAATGAACTACAACTTGACCAAAGATGCGACGAGCCGATATCATGACCCGAGTTGCAATAAGAGATTCTATCTCACAGGGGTATGCGTACACCTTTGATTCTGCTACTCTTCAATTCTGGCGAAGTACTTGGTGAGTTGCGCCCCCACGCTGTGTGTCTACGCAGAACTAGATATCGACTTGAAATTAGTTCCTCCTCCTTGAAATACGTTCTTCAGCATCATCATGATCCTATTTAAAAGATTAGAATAGTAAGGCTGCATTTTACTCATTTTAGTGCAAAGTTTTCTCGACAAGACCCACCCGCACAACGCGGTGCGTGCCGCTCGTCAAGTGTTGGCTGCAAAGAGTCAGACGCTCTGTTCTCCGAGGCTTTGAGCTGCTGCAGCAGCTCTGCTGCCTCTGCAGGCGAGTTAACTACGAGCAGAATGAATCCATAGTGAAACGCATGCAGAATTACTTGGGCTGAAGAAAAGAGCCGCACAGCACAAGAATCACAGCAGAAGTGATGCAGACACCCCAGCTGCTGCATTAGACAGGAGCCACAGAGAGCAAAGGAAGACTTAAAACTCTACTTGTGACACGAAAATACGCAAAATGAGCACTGAAAACCAAGTCAAGATCCAAAACCGGAACAAAACATATCTGCGCGCATCCCCGAGCCCAGCCATTTCCCTTACTCCTCATTTCTTACCTAGGGAGGCATTTGCCCCCTCCACGTCATTCAGCAGCAGCAAGAAACGCTTGCTGAGTTCCCTGCGGCGCTGCAGCGGCAGCAGCCGCTGCAGAAGCTGCTTGGGGTGCAGCCTGTGGTACTTGAGACTCAAGAAGACAACGCAGGCGCCGACGCCCACTAGGAAATCGGGGGCAATTGGCGCGTAGCAGAATGGCACAGAAGAGAAGAATCTGGCGAGGAACCAGCAGATGAAAGGCGAAAAAAGCCACAGACTGTAAAGGGGTAAAGATATCGATGAAGAAATAAGAGGAACTGCATATGTGCATCTAGCAATGCATGCGCTGTTGATTTTCCCTGGCAGGCTCACTTCATGATCGGGTTAGCCTGCTGCCGCAGAGAGGCTATTACCATCTGGCCGGCCTTCGGGTGAGTGAATGTCAAGGCATATTGCGAACGAGACTGAGCAGCGGCTTGCAGCTGCTGCTGCTTTTGCTGCTGCTGTTGTTGCTGCTGTTGTTGCTGCTGTTGTTGCTGCTGTTGTTGCTGCTGTTGTTGCTGCTGTTGTTGCTGCTGCGGCTGTTGCTGTTGCTGTTGCTGCTGTTGCTGCTGCTGCTGCTGCTTTTGCTGTTGGATCTGCTGCTGCACGTGCTGCTGTTGCTGCTGTTGCTGCTTTTGCTGTTGTTGGATCTGCTGCTGTTGTTGCTCCTGCCGTTGTTGCCGCCATTCCAGCACATCAGCCGCCTGCTGATTAGTGTCTTTGGGCTCTTCTTTGTGCATCTGTGCGGAAAAGTCTGGCTGCAGCTTTCTATCCCGTGAACGGCAAGCTTATTCAGCCGCATGCAGATCACCACTTGCCACTCCCGTTTGGTGGGTGGCTGTGAGCGGAACCGCTGGTTTATTCTGTCGAAGCCAAGCGCAGATGTACTCAATAGATCATTTTACTGGGAAAAAACTGGAGTACGTTTCAGCCATAGGCGAAGCACATCAATGCGCGCATAACAGCAATAGCTGGACCCCTCGATACCCCACCACTGCCTAGACACAAAACAAATTTCTTGTCTTCAAAGTCCCATTAACAAAGTTTGAATTTGAATTTTATGCATGAGCGATTTTCAGTCGGCTACTGAGCGTGTACCGTGTGAGGCTATATTTCGTCTGAGTAAGAAGCCCCAGGAAGCCTGGACCAGTGTGTTGTAAATTTTGTCTGGGTTTCCAACAAAAAGGGAAAATGCTAACCCTCTAGTTAAAAGCCACTGGCAGTGATATCTACGGAATGTTTTAAAACTTCTTAGAAGGTCATTAGCGACGAGCAGCCCCTACGCTCTACACCATACCCGTCAGCACCCCGATGGTGCGCCCTGTACACAGCTGCCATAACCGCGGATTTGTTTTCCTTGGAATTACTCAGCTACACTAAGTACCTAAATTCCGGTTTTTTTCCTCTTTTTCTGTTTATCTCCCTTTTCGAAAACGGACAATGGTAAGTAGCCTGCACGCTCTTGCGCGGTGCATCGGCGTGACTTGAAACTGAGCTTGAGTCTCCCGAAGTAACCATGCATGCAAGAGGCTAGCTTGTGCGTATCAACTAGATTTGTAATGTCTTAGAACTCATGAAACTTCTTTAAGCCACTTTCATTTTGATTAGCTCGCTCGCGGGGTTCCTCTTCGGTGACTTCTGCTGGAGGTGACCTCACCTTGGTGAGGGGCTTGCTGCTGGTACTAAACATTGCGCGCTGTGTCGATTTCGCCGTTCAGGAGCTTCCTCAAGATATTGCAAAGGAGCTGGCGGCTACAGCGAAAGCCATTGCGGCTCCTGGAAAGGGCATTCTGGCTGCTGACGAATCCACAGGTGAGTGTTCCACAAGCAAGTCCTGCTACTGCATTCATTGACGGGCTAAGAAGCAAAACTAACATTTCCTTCGCCATTTTAGAAAGTGCTTAGGCCTCACTAGCTGGCTTCTGCTGCGCCTGCGTGATATCTTAGGCACAATCCAAAAGCGTTTCGACAGCATTAAAGTGAAAAATGAAGAATCGAACAGGGCGGCATACAGGGACCTTTTGTTCTCGACAGAAGGTCTGGGGCAGTACATCTCGGGCTGCATTCTCTTTGAGGAAACGCTGTTCCAGAAGAACCAAGCGGGTGTTCTAATGGTGGACCTGCTGAAGAAGCAGGGCATAATCCCGGGCATAAAAGTCGACAAAGGGCTGGAAACAATTCCCCGAACTGATGACGAGAAAGCCACCATGGGCCTGGACGGCCTGGCGGAGCGCTGCAAAAAGTACTACGCCGCAGGGGCGCGCTTTGCGAAGTGGCGCGCAGTGCTGTCCATAAACCCCAGCCAAGGCAAGCCCTCAGATCGCTCCATTGCCGAAGTGGCCTACGGCTTGGCTCGGTACGCAGCCATATGCCAGCAGAACCGACTTGTGCCGATTGTGGAGCCCGAAATTCTCACCGACGGCTCCCACGACATCGCCACCTGCGCACAAGTCACGGAGCGGGTGCTGGCGGCTGTCTTCAAACAACTCAATGACCAGGGAGTGCTGCTGGAGGGGGCTTTGCTGAAGCCCAACATGGTCACCCCAGGTTCTGAGTGCCCCAGCAAGGCGAAGCCCGAAGAAATTGCTTTCTACACTGTTCGCGCGCTGGCCCGCACAGTGCCCCCTGCCCTCCCGGGGGTCACTTTCTTGTCGGGGGGCCAGTCCGAAGAAGAGGCTTCCCTGAACTTGAACGCAATGAACCGCATGGGGCCCCACCCCTGGGCGCTGACCTTCTCTTACGGCAGGGCCCTCCAGGCCTCCACGCTGCAGGCCTGGGCCGGCAAGCCCGAGAACAAGGCCAAGGCGCAGGAGGTGTTGCTGCAGCGCGCCAAGGCCAACAGCGAGGCGCAGCTGGGCACTTACGGGGGCGACGCTACAAACGCCGCGGCCAACAAGTCTCTCTTTGAGAAACACTACGTCTACTAAGTGAATGGTGCTGCATTAAGGAGCCTGCAGAGATAAATTCGGGGTTGTATGTTCTCTACAGGCCCTAGTGGCTCTCTTTGGCACTCCGCTGTAGGAGGGACGCAGCACATTAGGTCACTTGGCGTCTTTTTGCAATCAAATCACCCATATTTGCCTCTTTGCTTTTCGTTGCTTCGCTTTTCTGCAATTTTTGCATTATCTCGGATTTCCCAACTTGCTAGTCGCTGACTGACTGGCGTCAGTCCCGCCTTTGCTGAACTCTCCGCCTCAAGTGCATTGGTGAAATGCTGGTCCAGTTTGTTGTTCAAACAATTTAGCTAACTTCATCCTTTAGTTATTCAGTACTTCACTCGCAGCGTTACTGCCTTCGCTTACTCCTTACAAATCAAACGCTCCCCAATTAGTATTATTGGGAGCCATACACTGTTTGGACAATATTGCCTTGCTGTTATTGAATTGAAATGAATAACCAATGACTGGAGAACGTAGACAGAGCCCGCTCAAATACCCAGATGCAGCTGCATAGGAGCGCAGAATTGTCAGTATTAACTAGCTGCAACGAAATACATGAGCGCACGCTACCCACTACTGCCACCGCTGCCTCTGCCGTTGCTGCTGCTGCTGTTGCTTCTGCTGTTGGTGCTGCTCTCAACACTGCTGCTGCGATTGCTGAAGTTGCTTCTGCTGCTACTGCTTCTCGTGGATCTGCTGCTGCCACTATTTCCGGAGTTGCTGCGACTAGTTCTGTCGTGGCTACCGCAGTGACCACACGTTTGTGTTTCCGTGCATGCGGGCTCGTAGCGCAGCCACCTTAAATCGCAGCGAGAAAAGTGCAATTGTTTGCTTTCGAATGCATTTATTCTTGCTATTTAAGTGCATTTTCTGCGAATGACCTCCTTAGTTTCAGGTCCTTGCTGCCTCTCCTGCCGCTACGTGCATACCTGGCTGTTTGCTTGAACGACAAAGGCGTCTACAATCGTTTAAACAGTTAGCCATCAAAGACAAAAGAAGAAGAAATTAAAGTGCGAGGAAGTGCAGGAAATCTTGAGGCAAAAGTCACGAACGGTGTTCAGCCAAATGAAGATGCAGAAACTCGGAAGAATGCATGCAGACAATAGGAAATGTGCGCGCGCCACGTGCATAAACTTACATTGATTTGCTTGCTCTAGAAGTGACGCGCATACGAAATATATAAACTTGTATTAATTTATGCATATCAGCGCACACTGATGAGCTTGAGCGCAGCACTGGGCCCATGAAAAGCCAGAAAAGTTTGCTGCATTTTTGAGCCTAAGTTGGGTCTGTAAACATGCAATTCCACGAACAAATGATTCTCCCTACTTTCCACCAGTGTTTTGCCTCTCCGTCTTCAAATAAGAAGCGCGAAGAGCGTTCAGCATGCTGCACCTGCGGCAGCAGCTAGTTGTACGAATGCTGCTGCAGCAGCCAATGCTGCTGCAGCAGCCCGCGCAGCAAATGGCGTTGCTGCAGCACTCGCTTGCTGCCTATTGTTTCTCTAGTGCTAAAAGTGATTCTTCTATTCTGCTCGCTAGCTGCTGCCCTTCAAATTGTCTTTGCAAAAAACTGTGAGTCAGTGCCTCTTCCAAGGTGAGGCGATCCCTAGGGTCGTAGGCTAGCAGGCGACACAACATGTCCTGCAGGAGCAGCAAGTGCAGCAGCAAAAACAAAAGCAGCATCACAAACAGCTGCCTGACGCGATATAGTGCTGAGCGCTGTAGCAGCAAATACAACAGCAGCAGCTGCTGCTTTTGCAGCAGCTTAGAGAACACGTGCAAATATTACTGATTGTCTGTTGCAAACAACCCGAAAGGGCACGCAGAACTGCATCCATTACCACTCCGTTGACTATTTGCTGCTACTGCTGCTGCTGCTGTTGCAGGCGGGCCCTCACCTTAGCTGCATCTGAAATCTTCCGGGGCCCTGTAGGAATATAAAGACCTTTTTTCGCGTCAGAGATTATTTGGTCTGAAGAAACAAGCACAACCATAGCCACAGGCGAATGCAGCAGCAGCAGCAGCAGCAGCAGCAGCAGCAGCAACAGCAAGAGCACCAGCAACAGCCGCAGCAAACGCAGCAACCTGCGCAGCGGCGAGAATAGCCACACGGGTCACAGGTCGGTGTACCTGAAGGATCCACTTGATCTGGGCGAAGGCCGCGACAGAACGGTCTCCTGCAGCAGCAAACGCAAACAGCAGCAGCTTCTGCTGCAGCAACGACGTGGTGCCGCGGCAGCAACTGGTTGCCACAGAAGCAACAGCAGCGGCAGCAGCAGCTCGCCGCTGCTGCCATCAAAGGGGGACTTACTTGTTGAAGAGCATCTCGTACAGGATACAACCCACAGCCCAAATGTCAATCTGCACGAGCAGCAGAACTGAAACAAAGTCCTAGTGCGCCAGCAGGTGCAGCAAGAACAGCCGTAGCAGCTGCACCTTGCAGCAGCAGCAGCAGCAGTAGCAAGCCAGCGGGTTTGCACGTAGGCAGGTCTTTGGTAGAGGCAGCGGCGTCGCTGCAGCAGCAACCCAGGAGGGCAAAAAGCTCGCAGCAGCAGCAGCAGAAGCAGCAGCAGCCGTACGCGCAGCCACATACCTTCTCATCTGCTAGCACCACCAAGGGCGTCTGCTGCTGCGGCTGCTGCTCCGTTGCAGCGAGTTCGTCCTTGATTTCTCCGCCGTTGGCGCCAGGGTGGATTTGCTGCTGCTGCTTGCGTTGCTGCTGCTGGCGGAGTTGCTGCTGCTGCTGCTGCAGCAGCAGACACTCCGGCGGCTGGTACCACAGAGTGCCCCCGCCCGTAAAAGGCCTGGACTCCCCTTTAGGAACGAAGCAGCTCAACCCAAAGTCCGCCAACTTGCAGTCCCCTTCTTGCAGCAGCACATTTCCCGGCTTCACGTCCTAAGCCCCAGAACGCGCACAAAAACGCATGCAGCAAATGCATGCGGCGCATGCAGCAGGCGCATGCAGCGCATGCAGCAGGTAAGTGGCAGCAGCCGCATCTGGCGGTGGGCGCGCATTGAAGGAGAGAAGCGAATTTCTAGGGTTTAGCGTCGCAGCCTCCATATTAGGGTTTAGCATTTAGGGGTTCGCCGGACTTCAAATCTCCCGGATCCCTCTAAGCTTCTAGGTGCGAGGGTTTCTTTGAGGGCCTAGGGTTTGAAACTTACGAAGTGGCAAATGCGAGGGTTTCTTTAAGGGTTTAGGGTTTGGGACTTACGAGGTGATAAATGCTGCCGTTGGGTTGGTGCTTCAAATAGTGCAAAGCCCTGAAAAACAAAAAGCTGCGCTTAGACACAGGGCCTGGCTAGCTTGGCTAGCTGGCTTGCCTGGCTAGCTATCTGACCTGCTGGCTAGCCAGCAAGCCAGCTAGCTCGGTGTCGAGCAGCCAGCTACCTAGCTAGCTAGCTAGCTCCGCGCAGGGAAGCATGACAGCTAGCCAGCCACTGGGTAACAGATTTAGATTTTGCTGCTTAGCTTTACTGAAACACAGCCTAGGGTTCCGAGTTCTTAAACTAGGGTTTAGGGTTTAGGGTTTTGCACACTGAAGTATTTGCCGAATCCAGCGAGCCGCAAGGGGCTCCTCAAGGGGCCCAGAGATCTTCAAGTAGTGATCAAGGTCCCCCCCTACGTAGGCAAAGCATACAACCTAACACGCAGTTTCTGCTGCTGCTGCTCCTGCTGCTGCTGCTGCTGCTGCTGTCGCTGCAGCAGCAGCAAAGGGACTGCTGAGGCCCTTCCGCTGCCAGCAAGTGGCTGCAGATAATCAACGGTTGGGCTGTGCCTCGACACAGGAAGCTCGGCACTGAGGCTTTGTGCTTGGGATAATGGCAGTTCACTCGTTAGGGTTTAGGGTTTAGGGTTTAGGGTTTCGGACCTTCGCAGAACTGAAGAATGCTGGCGAGGACGTCGTTGCCCATTTCAAAGCAAGCTTTCATTTCTACGATCTGCGCCGGAAACCGCAAACCCTAAGCCCTAAGGCCTAAACCCTCAACCCTAAACCCTAACCCTCCTCAAATCCCAATGCTGCTCCCCAAACCCTAAACCCTAAACCCTATGGCCGAGCCGCCCACCCCCAATAATAATAATCCCAGATCCCGCGGGCAAAGCTCTGCTTGCTGTGTGAGCTGGAGGGTTTCAGATTTAGAAACTAGGGTTTAGGGTTTGCAGATTTACGTGCGGGTGGGGCCTGATATCTTTGTGAATTTCAATTTCGTTTTGAACTCTCTTTACAATCTTAAGTCTTTCTTTTTCTCTTTTCACGGAAGACAAAACGTGCAGCTTGGCAGCAGCCACGGAGCAAGTCAGCGGGTCGAACACCTGCGCGCCGGCAAACCCTAAACCCTAAACCCTAAACCCTAAACCCTACGCCCCAGCCGTAACCCTAGGCCCGCAGCGCCCACCAGCTGCAGGCAGAAAGCTCAGAGTGAGGCGGAGAGGGAAGCAGCAAAAAAAAGACAAAAGGGGACAAAAGAAGCAGCAAAATGACGCAGAGGGTCTGCAGCAGCAGCCGCAGCAGCTGCAGGCTGCAGCCTAGAAGAGGGCTAAAGCTGCAGCAGCGAGGGTTTAGGGTTTAGAAGTGGTTAAAACCCACTTCCCAAACTTCTGCAAAACCACCCCTGCCCAGCATGTTAAGCAGGCGGTAGCCTCTCCTGAGCTGGTGGAAGTTACTGAAGGGAGAATTTGACTGCGCACAAACCCTAAACCCTACACGCTAAACCCTAAACCCTAAACCCTAGCATCTCCGCTTTTCGCCTTAGACCCAAAACCCTAAACCCTCAACGACTTGGCCTTGCCTGTGCCAGCAGCAGCTTCATCTGCTTTAGGAGACGGTAGCGGCCGGCGTCCAGCTGCCTTTTGGCTTCCAAGAGGAGGCGATTGAGCTGCAGCAGCAGCAGCACCAACAGCAGCAGCAGCAGCTCGCCAGCAGAAGAAGCAGCAGCAGCAGCAGCAACAGAACACTGCCTTCAGAAATTAACTTACTTGGAGAA